CTCACTATGCATCTATGCACTGAAGTTTTCCTCCAGCTCTAGTAGACAACCTACAGTTTAAACCACTGAAGCAGATGTTTCATCACATTGGAGCCAAACATTGACAGCTGAAGCGTCATTACGTTTAGGCTACACGTAGAGCTACAAAACGAGTTCCCAACAAGTGTACAATACATCTTGTAGAAAAACCTACGTTATGTCAGAAAAAAACCAATAAAATCTCAAAAAACGACAAAATGTCACTTTTCAAGGTACGTAACACCCGTGCCGTTTAAAAAATGGATAGATGGAGAGATCTTTTTGAAACCCACTGTATATCGTCGGCTTCTACTAAGTACGCATAACTTGAATAGGCAATCGCAATAATCGTAGGTGAAGGCGTAATTTGATCGTTCTGTAAGAAATGGTGAGAGAGTCGATATAAAAGAATGTGCCCATCCACCATATTTGGAAACAGTTATACAACTTTGTAGTTGCGATCGTTTTGTAAAAATTGGCGAGAGAGTCGACATAAAAGAGTGTCCCATTCACCATATTTCGAAACAGTTATACAACTTTGTAGTTGCGATCGTTTTGTAAAAATTGGCGAGAGAGTCGACATAAAAGAGTGTCTCGTTCACCATATTTGGAAACAGTTATATAACCGTAGTTTTGATTGTTCTGTAAAAAATGGTGCAAGAGTCAATATGAAAGCGTTTGCTCATCCACCATATTTTGAAACAGTTATACAACTTTACTTTTTGCTAATTGATTGCAAAACGCAATTGATGTTTAAAATAGACGAGTCGCTTTGAAATATTTTCTCTGTAGGGATTGAATACCTCCCTTTCGAAATAAGACAGCACAAAGTGTCATCTATACATATATTTCTTTATTTGTATTAAGTAAATTATTATAGATACAAATTAAATTATCCGAATTTCTGTGTTACTCATTAGCTGCAAACCAAGAAAATTGATCATTATATGTATGTACAAAATTTTACCCTGCGTAATGTCAGTAATGCACTGTTTTCTTTCATTGAAAGAAAACATGAAATTAATAATATAAAACAAATATTAAGAGGATTAAACAAAAATATATTCAGAAATCATACATTTTGTTATTTACAACAAAAAAGACCATAAATAATAGCTAAATGATTAATAAATAAATATAGAATAAAAAATATAGAGTAGAATAAATACGATATTTACAGAAAATTAATATACAAATAAGTATAACAAGGAACTTGATACAAATACAAGACCCGTAGTCTTATTTGTTGAGGGACAAACTGTTGAATATTCAGGCATTTTTTGTAAAAAAATATGTGTAACAGAGATGAGCCTGATTCACAAAGGATTTGATAGATTCGAGAAATATATTTTTTACATTGCTGTTATCAAATCCATATCATACGTCAACGTTCCTTTACCGTTAATTACTTCAAAAATATATCGAGTAATACATTTTGACACTGTGAGACAAATTATGTATAAATTATAAAATAGGGCTTCAAAATATCAGGAAATGAAGTGTTAAGCGACTGAGTGATCACAAGAATTCATTGTTTATTTAGTTTTTTTTGTGTTTGTAATACAGTTTTAACGCTTGTCAAACAGATTTTTGGCATTTTCTTAAAAAGCAGAAAAACTTGACAGATGTTGACCAGCGTGATTTCAAGAAGACCGAAATCGACGACTTAGTTAGTACTATATATCCATATTCATATATCTCATTTCTTCGTCATTCACGTTTCTGATTTTTTCGATTATCCCTGCGTCTTATTCCATTTTAATATGAAACTTTTTCAATATAAAACCGTCGTAGCTGGAAGGGTGGTAATTTCGACGAGGTTCTTGGTGCGATGTCTGAATTCCGGTAAACCGACAGCTTGGCAGACAGCCAAGAACTCCTCATATATCGCGATTGGTCGGGACTTGCTCTATTAAATAGTTTTATATCTGCCAGGTACACTCGGGCCAGCGTTCGGAGATTCTCGTTATGAAAAATTTGCCTAAGGTGATTTTTTCATATGGCACTATGCAAATGGAAAGGACAAAGTGCAAGCAAATTTCGCAAAAGAAGTTTGATGTTTCTATACATCTCTCTATAAAAAATTAGTTCCTGACTGCCCATCACATACCTGAGGAGCAAAGCCCATAGACATACCGATAGAAAAGGGCCAGATCGTCGACGACGAGAGGATTCCGAGACGGTCCGTTAGAGAAAAGTCACCGATCATTGCATTGAGCATGGATAATGTAGTCGGGACGGCAGCACCCCAAGCATGTGAGCAGTATTCGAGGTTAGGTCTTATCTGGACCTTGTACAGAGTAAGGAGGTGATGTGTACCTAAAGTACTGTGTTTTGGAAGCTTTAAACTGTATCAGATTGTGGCGTCTTCAAGCAGTGATAAGCTTCAGATCTCTCTTCAGAGAAAAAGTCGCTGCAAGTATTCTTTTGTCTAACCGGTAAAGACCGGCTAAGCACTGTGAATTTCTGCTGGTCGAATACTGTCATCGGAAAATTTGTAGATCGGATTAACATAAACAAGTCAAGACTGATCCGTGGGGAATACCCGCGTTGCAAAGCTTCTCCGACTATTTTGCATGGTCATGTTGGTGAAAATGTCCGAACATCCACAAAAAAACTCCCCAGGGCATAATTACGAAAAACGTGGTGGCGAAACCTGAACATGCGTCAAATAAAAACACGCCCTAAGGGAATACTCGGCGTTTTTTCATTCAGCATTCTTTCCACGCTTTCCACGGTAGGGCTGCGACTGGTCGAGATTGGAAAATGTGGAAAAGTAACTCGGGCCGGTTTAAATTCGTGATAAACGAAGTTTGGGACATGGGGAACGTTATCGAAAACTCGTCAAGAGGCGGGGTATGAAATTTCTGATACACGTTGACTGTCGATTCGAACGGAAAGAGTCTCATATTTTCGATAATGTGGGAATTATGACGAAAAGGAACTGAGCTACCATGAACTTTGTTTGAAGAAGATGCTGTGGCCACTAAATGTGAGGCATGATTAGTACCATAAAACATCGGGTCACGCGATTCAAATCGTGGTCTTTTGGCCGCCATATCCAACAACATACCTTTGCAATCAGTAGTCCAATTTTAACTGTTTAAACATCGTTTCACTCCTTTTAAAGAACACATATTCTATGACTACCCATTTTTAAATCAACCAGTAGTTATTTAGATATACGAAGGTCTTTAAGTTCCAATAATTTGCACAGGTGTTGAAATTTGAAACGTTATTTTGAATTGTAAGATGGTTGAAATCAATTTCGAACAGTTAAATCTATTGTACACCACATTCCAAGTATCTGCATCTCGATTCAAGATCAAAATTTCAAGAGCACTTAGGTGGCATATTTACTCCAACATAATGATAATAAAACATAACATACACCAGGTACCGACCTAGTTGTCCGATACGCAGCATTCTGGCCTCCTAAGTTAACCATTATCGATCTAGTAGGCTTCCGTCAAGCTGGGATGTGTCGATTAAACGACCTGGAACGGCAGTGTTTTGTTACGGGAGGAAATTGAAACATCGCCTACTTGATTTTGCCGGCCGATATTAACAATCCAATTTCGTCAAACCACAACACGGGTGTCGATATATCGACTGTCACTCAGTTGGCTGGAAATGTTGAGAGTCGAACATCGATGTGAAATGCGGGATTTTCGAGCAATAAACTAGTTTTGTGTTTTGTTATGCTCTTATTTGAAACCAAACAGTAGCAGTAAATTTTCTACTCATTTACTATAAGGAGTTAATAATCTTTCTGACACTATAACGAAATGCATGTCGACTTGACTAGAAAGTGGAGTCCAAAATTTCTTGTCTAACTCTTATCAACAATGGCTATTTACTTTGCAATGACCGATTGTGGTAATAGATGGAACTCAAGTTCATAAATCTGATAGACGTCAACTTTGCTATGGCTTTCGGCGAGTGAAATAATTCTCTTATGGGATGGGTTAAAAATGGAATCATTAACAAGTTCTAACCTGCAATCCTCCACAAATATTCTTTAATTCTAAAAGTCTTACTTATTTTGGTTAGATCGTCTAAAACAACAGTTCCGACGAGCTTGCGATCTATGTAAGTTCATTGTTAAATAGTTTGTACTTGATAAGAATACAGTAAAGATTTTCAGTCTTCGGTAAAGTCTCATGGAGAAGAAAATTTTACAATAAATAATGTTAAACACAATATAAAAGGAAAATTAACCACAACGTACGGTGATTCGGTACAAAACAAAAACGGTGCATCTACAACTACTTTGCAAATTTTTGTAAATGCTGTGAAGCGTAATTTCGCTAATTTATTTTTTCATACCAACGTTGAGAATGAGAGTCACAATTTATTGATAAACTGTCGTATAGAAGGGTTTCTAAGATTATCCTGAAAGTTTTGCAATATGACTTAACAAACGGATGCAGGAGGTTGCAGGTTACTGCATGTTGAGGCATGTCCATGAGTTGATACTAGCCGTCTGCTGATTTAGTTGTTCAATCGTATTGACACTGTAAAGTACGGACTATGGCATCGTGGTCACGAAGTGAGGTAAGGGCAGTTTTGTGGGATAACTTTACGCGTGGGTTAAGCATCAGCTTACATTGAAGGATGATTTTCCTCATCGTACAGATAGAGGAGACCCTACACCTTCATGAACCAGCAATTCATTCAATTCTGTATGATCATCTGCATGTAAGGAATCTTTGTTCTCTCTGGGTACCGCATGGTCTGACGGAAGAGCGGAAGACTCGTCGTATGACTTGTTGTTTGAAAAGGGGAAATCTCGATATGTGAACAGGTGACGAGACTTGGCTATATTATTACCATGTATCGGCAAGGCTCAAAACAAAGTTTGGGTCCTTGATGATGAGGACACACCAATAGCTGTCAGGAAATTCCGATGTGTTCAGAAAAAAATGATAGCTGTATTTTTCAAATCGAGCGGATTGTGGAGCGCGTCGTTTTGGACACACAGAAGGCAGTCACAGCTGTATTACAAAACTTTTACAGTACCCTTTGTATCTAGTCAAATAATGTACGAAATTAGCCTCCACAGCACCGATTATATCACACAGAAAACAAAATGCATTCAACTACGCCTACAATCTAAGTGACATGTTATACGCATGATATCGCGTGATAAATCAGTAAGCCAAAATTTACTGCTCCGAATAATTCAAATCTCTACCCTTGTGAATAGCTATGATATGTGAGTTTTTGCATTGTGAATTAGGAGCCTCAGCGTCATCGTATTCGCTATCCAAACGTCAGGTCCATAGCAACCATTCATTTGACATGCGTATAACATGTCTCTAACACATTAATGTATACAGACACTGATAGTGTGATATATTACCGATTAACAGATGTGCTGGTGCTATCGTCAAAGGTGACCTTGTGCTTGGGCCGTTTTTTGAACCAGCAGAAGTATCCGCTGCCGTCTGGAGACTGTTGGTTGGCTGCCAGAGCCGGCCTCAGCCAGTAGATCTGCTCCTCTTCCTCCTCTATCTATAAGAAATAAAGTCATTGTCAGAATATGAATTCTTTTTGAAGCATTTAAAATCAATAAACGGTGTGTCCAGAAAAAATTGTTAGGATAATTTGTATATGGCCTTAAAGAGAGTACAGGGTGGGCGATTAAGTGGAGCGGATTTTGAAAAATCATAGAACACATACTACAAAGCGGAGGGATTTAGTAAAGTAGAAACATAAATAACATCATTGAGATCGTCAATATGATAGACCAGCAATTTAACCTGTGATCTATGTGAGCAGCATCTATGTATTGAGGAAATTATGTGGAAGAAAGCACTTGTTAAGAATAAACAAAAAACCAAACAATCTGTCGAGATATACGCTAATAGACTAGGCTTGTCTATAGTCGAGGTACAATCCTGTATTTTGGACAAGCTTTAGAAAGACTCTTAGTCTTGACTTACCTCGGTGACAGATCCTCCACTCTTGCTCTTCCTCACCATGGCCTGCTTATGGAGCACCCCCATAATAGCTCTTTTAGGTGAAGTGTCACTCACCGTGTAGGTGCGACCGTTTCCTACTACGAGCAACGGTTGGGTACCTGGCTCTTCGGAAGGAGAAGTTCTGTGGGAGTTCAGATGGACGTCGTGCACCAGACGGAGAGAGCGAGACTCACGGACTGTTGCGTGACCAATCTGAAAGAAAAAAGTGATGTTAATTAATTATCGGAGTAGTAATTCAGGGAGGATTTTGGATCATTTTGGTCGCCTGTCAGCAATTTTAAGGGCAAGCTGCAAAGTAAAAGTACTAATATGTGTAAATCAATGGGCTCTACTATAATCCTGTAATTATGGAGATAATCCTAAAATTTGTGTCCTATTTTGTGGATCTATGTCATATCAGCACGCTGCCAGAGTTTCATTTGCGAGAACTCAATCTCTTTTTGAATAAATGTGCTTTTTCAACTTAGGGAACAGGCGATAGTACGTAGTGTGAAACAAAAAACCAATTTACAATCCAGAACTGCAACTCTCTTAGATGAGCGATCATCAACCAACTACCACCACTCTGTTGTCCAGACTTTCCACCCAGTGGCTAGCAGATGCTCGCAAGAGCGATTTACTTTTGACGACAAGATGAAAGATGAGAAAAGCTGCCACAACCCACATACCCAGGATAAAAGATGGTTATGCCGTAATCGATAGTCGTAAATGGAAAGTATTCGATCGAAAAACATTAGGTTGTCTACACCCACAGTGTGAGCCGCTTCGAATCATTCCTGTTATGTATCGTTATTGAAATCTTAATATTCCACCTGGTACAATCCGGAGTTAAATTATTCCGAACACACGTCAACAAAGCAACGTTTAAATAATAAATAAGGGTAATATGCGTGAGTTGTCAACGGATCGATAATCGGTAGTCTCTGGAATGTCGGGCGCTGTTATTAAATAGAGTGAAACGGAGGCTTAAAAGCTTTGAAATTAGGAAACTATCGCTATGCACGTCTACCGCTGCAACCGTTCCTGGAATTATTAACTGCCACTAAAAGCATTGAGTGGTGTTAAATGCAAACCATAGTTGGTTTGGAAACGCTATAACCTTTTCAAGAGATAATACTGGATATGAAACTTTTTACAGGTATATCTATGGAATATAGGCATCCGAGCGTGTCTCTTTTGTTTGATATCGATCTGGTGGAGTGTCGAATTTTGGTACGCCTTCCTACATTTGACACTGATTGACAGTCAACTGACGGCAGACCAGAAAGTTCATGTCGGCCGTTTCCTGCTGAAGCCTTGATTGAGAAGGTGTATCGGCCAATCATTTGGTTTCTAAATTTTGGAATATTGGGCCCCAATCACCAGGTTATGGAATAGCATCATTTTCTTTTCTACCTTACCTCTCGTAGTTTGTATCGGTTGTTGTTTGGCGCTACACTGTCTAGTATTTATATAGGCGATTTTATAAGAATTTTTTTAGAAACGTTTGACAAAATTGAAGAGCAATAATAAATGATTGCCTCAAAACTTGACGTCGAACGTTGATAAATATATAGTTTCTATCATATCGATAAAATATTTCATGGTGTATGAGAAAATAGTTAAAACTGCCTCAATAGATGCGCTTATTAATCTTAGAACAGCAACGGTTCTGTGTAGTTGTATTCCCCACTATTTAAAAGCAATATTATCTTTGGTTGTCGCGCTAGTCCTATCTTAACTTATTTAGCGTTTACCCTAGAGAGAAAAAATTCCTGCAACATGAGAGGAAGCGCACGTTCTCAGTCGTTCTTTGATCTCCGTAACGAGCTGTGCATTTTTCGTCGCTTTTTCGGTATACACTCACTGGAGGTGCATTCTTAGCCGACAACTGAAAGTGTGCTACATGAAAGGGGAGAGAGCCAATTGTCGCTGAGGTGAATGTAAAATGATGAAGCAAAGTGGGGCGTGATGTCAAACTGACCTACTTTCAGAGAAATAGCTGTGAATAGGTACATACAGGATGGTCAAAGTGTTTGTGAGACAGTTCCGATCAAATAAAAAGTAGCTAAGACGGGTCAAGGTCATTCAGATGTTGAAGTTTTTAAATGGAATCGTATTTTTTGGCTATACAGATGGAAACGGAAAGATTTCTATGTTCTAAGATGACCTTGACCATAACTTTGGGTCATTTGAAGGTGACAAATTATAATAAAGAATCGTATCTTTTTGACTCTATGGATCGTTACATTTTTACGCTCATAAATGACCTTGACCATGATGAATTAATTTCAATCTCATGGAAACATAAAATTTGTCGCCCTTTATTTTTCAAGTTGACCTCTAAATGACTTTGAATCCTTGAAACGTAGAGACATGCGAACTCTTGGTCTAACATCTCCAAGTTCATCTAAATGACCTAGAACTTCGATTCAACACCATTAGATTGCCTGATAAATCCTGGGATTTCGGTCTTGGCTTTTTTTGGTGATTAGTATTTTCTGAGGAGCGCACAGTTATAAAGAACTTTTTAAAAGTTATAGAATCTTAACAGTACCTGCTCTGGTGACTCCCGCGTCAGAGATATACGTATTCCGAAAAAAAAAAAACAAATTTACTATCAACAAAGACATACACACACTTGCCAAGAGGCAGAGTAATAATATACACGCCAGATTTTACAGAAGGAAATAAATCGTAAAATATACTGGGTCCCAAGGTCTTTAACATTCGTCCAAAAGATATGCAAGGAATAGCAAATCTAAATCACTTTGAGTATTGTTATAATATAGAAATGTTTGTATACTGTCTAAGAGTTTATCAGTGCGTAAATGTTGTTAATTACCGTGTTATATCTCTGTATATACTTGCTCTATTAACGATTCTTATACAAACTTTCTTTGTCCAACGAAAGTAAATTATTATTATTCTAGCCGCCTATATTGTGTATTCGGAGCAGCTTCGCTCCTTACATTCCAAGCCTCACATACGGCACGTAGAATTTCGTTCCGTTCGAACTTGTTGATCGACGCAACGGGCACTACGACCCGTCGCAACCGGCTACGGAATGATAACGGAGTTATGCGAGGCAGGAAACGTAATAACGGCCGATAGATGGCGCTGGCTGTCTCGTTGTAGAACATGCCGCGTGTCGATGCACGTTGTTCGTAGAACGTTGGCTTTCGTGCGGAATTCTAATGGAAATTCGGACGGCAATAGGAGGAAGAGGAGTATTTGAAGAGGATGCATAGTTGCGTATTTAGTCAATATTTTAGATTCAATCTGTTCTGAAGTGGGCATAATAATAATACTGAGGATTATTATTATCCATCGGATATGAAAATAAATGTATTGGACTGGCCAGAAATCAATAGTTGCGAGCTAATGAAGTCACTGGTGGCCTAATAACATTTATCAAGCAAATAGTTCTTCAAAGCAGTTGATATGCTCACTGCACTTAATTTCTTGAGGAAGTTTATTATACATTAGCATTAGCATATCGACTAGAAAGCTCGCGAGTTCGAATAGGGCAAGATTAAAGTGATTATCTGATTCTTATTGTTCCCCAACTTAAGTGAATCACACCGCCGACGTTACGTAATGTAACAAAAACACCGTTTTTACTGTTCAAAATCTAATTTGGCACTCTCACACTTGTAACCAATGAGAATGTCGACTGGGCTACGGTGATCCGCGCTCAACTCTGTCTAGTTCTGCCCTTTATGCGTGTATTTATCTTCGAATCGACGAGTCCAGAAGCGTTCTCGCGTCTTCCAGACGAAACTAGAGTTTTCATCGGAACCTGGTAGATAGCGACCGATGCTTCTTAAAATATGGCAACTATAAGAAAACTGGAATCAAAATGACTTTAAGCTGTCCCTTGACAGAGCCTTCCAATGTGGAAAATCTTGTAAAGGGCAAACCTAAAGTGATTACCGGTTTCTTATTGTTCCCCAACTCAAGTGCATCACATCGCCGACGCTACGTATTGTAACGAAAACACCGTTTTTACTATTCAGAATCTAATTTGTCACTCTCACACTTCCAACCAATGACAATGTCGACTGGGCTACGGTGATCCGCGCTCAACTCTGTCTGGTTCTGCCCTTTATGCGTGTATTTATCTTCGAATCGACGAGTCCAGAAGCGTTCTCGCGTCTTCCAGATGAAACTAGAATTTTCATCGGAACCTGGTAGATAGCGACCGATGCTTCTTAAAATAAGGCAACTATAAGAAAACTGGAATCAAAATGACTTTAAGCTGTCCCTAGCCAGACCCTTCCAATGTGGAAAATCTTGTAAAGAGCAAACCTAAAGTGATTACCGGTTTCTTATGGTTCCCCAACTCAAGTGCATCACATCGCCGACGCTACGTATTGTAACGAAAACACCGTTTTTACTATTCAGAATCTAATTTGTCACTCTCACACTTCCAACCAATGACAATGTCGACTGGGCTACGGTGATCCGCGCTCAACTCTGTCTGGTTCTGCCCTTTATGCGTGTATTTATCTTCGAATCGACGAGTCCAGAAGCGTTCTCGCGTCTTCCAGATGAAACTAGAATTTTCATCGGAACCTGGTAGATAGCGACCGATGCTTCTTAAAATAAGGCAACTATAAGAAAACTGGAATCAAAATGACTTTAAGCTGTCCCTAGACAGACCCTTCCAATGTGGAAAATCTTGTAAAGAGCAAACCTAAAGTGATTACCGGTTTCTTATGGTTCCCCAACTCAAGTGCATCACATCGCCGACGCTACGTATTGTAACGAAAACACCGTTTTTACTATTCAGAATCTAATTTGTCACTCTCACACTTGCAACCAATGACAATGTTGACTGGGCTACGGTGATCCGCGCTCAACTCTGTCTAGTTCTGCTCTTTATGTGTGTATTTATCTTCGAATCGACGAGTCCAGAAGCATTCTCGCGTCTTCCAGATGAAACTAGAGTTTTCATCGAAACCTGGTAGATAGCGACCGATGCTTCTTAAAATACTGCAACTATAAGAAAACTGGAATCAAAGTGACTTTAAGCTGTCAATAGACAGACCCTTCCAATGTGGAAAATCTTGTAAAGGGCAAACCTAAAGTGATTACCGGTTTCTTATTGTCCCCCAACTCAAGTGCATCACATCGCCGACGCTACGTATTGTAACGAAAACACCGTTTTTACTATTCAGAATCTAATTTGTCACTCTCACACTTCCAAC